GCGCTTTAGACGGCCTTCTAAGCTTTTTGGTGTATTTTGTTGGTGGAAACGGCCATAAAAGCATACCGTACCACTCAGTGGAAACGGCCCCAAAAAAAGTATATGCTTAAATGAATATTTATTTAAGACATTAAGGAATATATATACTCGTGTGATAGTTTTTATAACTTGTATGATTTTACGATAGTCGTGATGTTTTCAGAAACTTGCTCTTAAACCAGTGTACAAATTAAACGCAGAAAGGGTTGTCTCTATTTTTACATTTGTAAACATTTAAACATGTAAACATTGTAACATTTGACAGTTCATGTATTAAACCATAGCTCATGTGACCACAGTCAGTAAATGCTTCTCTTGTGCTGCTCTCAGGATCCAGATGGAGTGATTTCTCAGCGTGAAGCTAACCGGGGTCATGGTGGTGGCGGAGGTGGCGGTGGACCCCCAGGCATGGGAGGAGGCATGGGCGGTGGCATGGGAGGAGGCATGGGTGGTGGCATGGGAGGAGGCATGGGTGGTGGCATGGGCGGAGGCATGGGTGGAGGAATGGGCGGAGGCATGGGTGGAGGAATGGGCGGAGGAATGGGGATGGGCCCAGGACCTGGTTCTTCTTCAATGGTCAACATCCCTCCCAGTCTCATGAACAACCCTAACATTCCCAACGAGGTCATCCACGGCCTCCAAGCTGGAAAAATTGGAAGCACCATTTTTGTGGCTAATGTAAGATTTTTAACCCTTTGTGGACCATATGAAGATTCTGAAAATGTGCCCGCTGAGTATTGATGTGGCTTTTTTTTTTTTTTTTTTTTTTTTTTTTGCACAGTTGGACTACAAAGTGGGATGGAAGAAACTGAAAGAGGTGTTCGGGATGGCCGGTATGGTCGTGCGTGCTGATATCCTGGAGGATAAAGATGGGAAAAGCAGAGGCATGGGAACGGTCACATTTGACATGCCTATTGAGGCTGTTCAGGCAGTCTGTATCCTTCATGATAGTTTGTGCTATTGGTTTAAATGAAGTTATGCTATATAAATGTACACAATGGATGAAAATTGTTCCTTAATTTGTATTAGCCATGTTTAATGGTCAGCTCCTCTTCAACCGGGTCATGCATGTCAAACTGGTAAGTAAACGAGCTGATTTAGTGATTTATGTTTGCTAAACTCTTCCAAATCCCCCTTCAAATCGGTCATTGTCTTTTTAGGATGAGAAATCCCTTCCAAAAGGAGACTTTGCACCCCCAGAGCGTGCTCCAGCACTTCCTCGTAAGTGCTAACTATATTTGCTGCCTTCACATTTAGCAATTTTCATTGCAATTCTTCTCTAAACCAGTTTCCACAATCTCCTCCAGGTGGTTTGAGCGGTGTTGGTCTTGGTCTGGGACCCGGCGGTCAACCCATTGATGCTACGCAGCTCAATCGTGGCGGGATGGGCAATATGGGGCCAGGAGGTAAACGCATGTCTCCTGTTGAATTGTATGCATTGTTTCTGCATGTTCTCCCGCACTGACCATCATCCCCCTCTCCCTTCATCAATTCATTTTCCCCATAGGAATGGATGGAATGGGCTATGGTGGCATGGGTAGAATGGGAGGTATGTGTTTTAATGGGACATCTCAAGCCCTTTTTTCCCTCCCTCCTTCCCCTCGGGGCATGTTTTTATCGCATATCAGTAGGGTTTACTGAATTTGATTTGCATGCTGTATTTTGAAGGTTTTTAGTTTGATAGAAAAGGCAATGCCCAAGCTGTCTTGATCTATACATTTTCTTCTAAAGAGGTGCAGGATTTTAAATTATTATTATTATTATTATTATTCCTACTTCTGTTGCATTCATAGTAAGTGTTTGTCACAATAGGCATTGTTTCAGATTATTTTTTAAGGAGGTTACATGGCCATGTTTGAAGGTTGTGTGCAAAACAGCATCTGCAGTCTTATCAGTCAATCTCTGATATTACTGAAACAAAAAACTTGCCCATCTTTGTCGGGATGTTTTGCAGTATCTTAGACATGGCTTGTCCAATAAAACACCAAATAAAAGAGAAATGCATCCCAAAACACTGGCGTTGCTAATTCACTTAAGACTCTCTACATCTAACTTATTATGCCAAAATCATATTTTGACAAATAGTCGTGACAATGTAAATTTGGTGTGATCTGAATTGTGATTTGTTTAATTAATAATGGTATTTCATTTTATATTGAGGCTTTTTATCCCCAACAATTTTTTTTTAATTTTTTTACACTACTTATCCACTGCATTAAAGATTTTTTTGTGAGTTTTAATTTGGTGCATAATTTATCTATGACTTCAGGCATGGACAATTTTGGAGGCGGCGGCGGTGGTGGTGGCGGCATGAACAACATGGATCGTTTCGGACCTTCTGGAATGGGACGAATGAATGGTATGAGTTTTATTTTTATTATATGCATGTATGAAATCAGTTTATTTTTTGTCTTTGTCTAATTGTTCTAGTTGAAGTGAGAGTAAAGCTTTATTTTCTTTTGACTTCAGATATGGATCGTGGAATGGGTGGTGGCTTTGATCGAGATTTCAGTGGTCGTAATGACATGGGAATGTCCCGCAGCAACTTTGGAGACTCTTTTGATCGAGGAATGGGTCAGTAACATTGTACAGAATTGTGTAAAGTACATGAAAATGTGCAATATGTAAACCCATTTTTTAAAATCTTCCAATTCCCAGGAAACTCCATGGGTATGGATCGCATGAATTCTGGCATGGATCGGCTTAGTGGTGGAATAGACCGTATGGGAGGAGGAGGAGGAGGTGGAGGAATGGACCGCATGGGAGGGGGAGGAGGAGGTGGAGGAATGGACCGCATGTCTGATCTGGACCGCATGGGTTCTAGCTTTGATAGAATGGGGTCAGGGCTTGACCGTCTCGGCCCCAGCATGGATCGTATGGGTTCAGGCCTGGACCGCATGAGCACTAGCGTGGACCGTATGGGTCCTGGTGGCTTTGACCGCTTGGGCTCGTCCAGCATGGATCGTATGAGCGGTGGAATGGACTTTGCTTCTCCCATGGGCATGGACCGGATGAACACAGGTCTCGATCGAATGGGCTCAAACTTTGACCGCATGGGCTCTGGTGGCATGGACCGTTTCTCTTCGGGTCTGGACCGCATGGGCTCCAGCATGGATCGAATGGGATCTGGTGGCATCGGTGGCCAGTTTGACAGGCCCGGAGACATGGACCGTGGTAACTTTGGTTCTCCATTCGGCGGGTCTGGGCAAGGAGGAGGACCAGGGTCTGGTGGAGCCAATGCCAGGAAGGGCTGCCAGATTTTTGTCAGAAATGTAAGCAGACAGTATTCTTATTATTGGGTAATACTGTAGGGAAGGATTAAACCAAGAACAATGGGATTAATATTGTTGTGTACATGCACTTGCATATTTATTAAATAACACCACACTATGATGAGCAAGTTTAAAACTGAAACTGGTGGGCAATAGCAGACAGTCGTCAACATTTAAAGTAGGCTTGTCATGATACTGGAATTTGGTACCAATCAATACTGAAGTTTAAAAACGGCCATTTCCCGCTAGCATTTGAGCGCTGTTGAGCTCATAGGAAACGGTTGTGATTGGCTGTGAAGGTCATCAGTTCACCAAACTCACCGCTGTTTACTGAGTGGAACCACAGATACAAGGACGCTGGAGCAATTTAAAGTCATGATTCATCAGCTTGTAGACAAACCAGATGATTGATGTGACTTTAAAACACTTCAGTGTTCCTGTATCTGTGGTTCCACTCAGTAAACAGCGGTGAGTTTGGTAAACTGATGATTTTCACAGCCAATCACAGTCATTTTTGTCGAGCATGTGAGCACAATAGCCAATCCGCTGAGTGCGGTCGAATTTTAGCGGGAAATGGACGGTTTAGAATTTTGTTATCTATTGGTACTGATTTCCAGTATCTTGACAACACTAATATGAAGTGGATAAACGTGTTTTTCAAAATCGTCCTAAAACAATGAGTGGTGTTTACTAGTTGTAGGACAACTTTGATGGTCATTATTTTTTAGATACACGTCAAATGTTGAATACTGTAGTCAAAGTTGTATTCTGTTTTCATTTAATTAACTGTTAACTGCATTTCACAATTGAGACTTAACAAATTTATACCTCTTGCATCAATTGTAAACTGATCCTGCTTCTATGAAGTTGATGTATTAAGTTAAATTTCTTGCCTAAAGTCAATAAGAAAATCTTCAGAACTCTTCAAACTCATGATGATAATTGACTGGTGAGATTAAACAAGTTCATTTTATGCAGGATTTGATTAGAAAGTGAAAACCGTCACTATTTTGTGGCCGCCCACACAGCCTGTTGCATCATCAGTCAGGAAACGATGTTTCTGTCCACTCTTTAATAATGAATTCATTTGTTTTTCCAGCTGCCCTTTGACTTCACCTGGAAGATGTTGAAGGACACTTTTAATTCCTGTGGTGAGATGTCTTTCCAGTCCTACTAAACCCAGACTTCTATTCTGTCAACATTTGTAATGTATTTTCTGTGTGTTTTTCCGTCCAGGCATGGTTCAGTATGCAGATATAAAGATGGAGAACGGGAAGTCTAAGGGCTGTGGTGTGGTGCGCTTTGACAATCCTGAGACCGCTGAGCGAGCCTGTCGCACCATGAACGGCTACCGGCTCAACGGCAGAGAGATTGACGTCAGGATTGACAGAAATGCGTAATCCTACATTCTTTGCCTTCCATATTCGATTCCCTCCACCCCATACACTATGCTTTCCAGGTTATTTGTCAGTTACATATTTGTGCCAAATGGTACATTTTTAGGTTTATGACTTTTTAGAGACCAAATTTTTTTTTTTTGCCCACTTTTTATTGTGATGCTTTCCAACAAATTGCCTTTGTTAAAGGTTTGCTAATAAATCTGTGTTGAGAACAGAAGCACTCTGTGTTGTGTGGTTCTCTTCAGATCACTAGACCCGGATATCTCATCACTTTAAAAACAAAAGCCAAGTGAATCAAGTTGTTTATTTGAAGGTTCTGAACAAAATGTACACACATCAGTCCATTGGTGGTGGTCTTCTTCATAGAGGTAACTGTCTATGCTGTACATCAATGCAAATACTCACATTTTGCCATGCTCTTTTGCTATCGAAGGGGGGCACACAGCTTGTTTTTCTTTTGACCACACACATACACACAAAACAGCTCAATTTTTGGAAGAGCAAGCGATTGATACAATTGTATGTCTGAGACGGTACAGACTTTACCATCCCAACTGAAGTTTACACGATACAAAAAAAAAAAAACCAGCTGGAAGAATGGGTGGGTTTCTGCAAGCCACTCGTGCGAAATAAACCCTCGAAAAACATTTAAAATATAATTTATATGTATTTAAATATCTATATACAAATTCTCTAAGACACTATCATAGGGTGGGAGAAAGAGAGACTGAGTTGGTGAGTATTTTTCTAACTGTAGGTTGGCAAGAATATAAGGCAACTTAAATATGCGTGTGCTACACTTTACAGATATATTGCTGTAGTAGTCGCTTCAGATACGACAGCAATATCAAATAGCAACTGGCCACTGCACGTTATAAGAATCCGTGTCGCACATTTTCACACTCGCAACCACAAACACACACGCACAGCCTATACATGTTGATATACAACTGACCTTCAATATTTCTGTGGTGAAATGATTGCGATATTTGGCCTCCAACACAAGTTTGGTCCCGTCTTCCGATTTAACATGTCTCTGTAATTAGGTTCTGATGATATTAATGGATTTAGGTGCGTTATAAATAACTTATTTGGACAATGGAATGTATATAAAAACAAAACGGGTAAACATATATATATTTTAAAACTATTTCAATCCATTGTGGATCCTAATTTCTAAATTAAAACGTGGAAAAATGGACTTTGGTTGTTGGTGAAAATCACACAATATACTTGTTGCACTTTCACCAAACTCAAACACTGCACACACTATTGCTGGTTCTTTTTCTTTCTTTCTGATGAACCAATAAAAACAAACCAAATTGTACAGGATTATATATATATATAGGTTTACATTTCACAATCCACTTTGTATTCTCTCAATTTCAACAAATTATTTCCTTTCATTTGAGTTAGTATTTCACCTTTTTCTTCAGAATTCTGAGTTTAACTCTGTTCATACAGTCCAGACACACAGCTCCCAATTCTTAGGAAAATTTGAAAAAGCCAAAATTGCAAGACTTTTTATTTTTGGCAATTCTGTTTGTATCAGATTTTTTTTTTTCTATAAACGGTTTATATTCCACATATTGTGCAATATTGCATCTTTTAATCGTTTTCTCAGACCTGTGATACAAACTCGTAAAAGCAAAATTTCTGAGCTAAAATTGTGAGATACAAAGTTGCAAAACTTATACCAATAAGAATTGTGACCATTTCTCGCAATTGCATTTGATTTTTTTTTTAAATAAAAAAAAAAAGATACTGAATCGGAATTGCGACTACTCATAATTGCAGATTTACATTTCATGTTGCAGTTTTAAAAAGGAAAAAATAGAAATCGACTTGAAATGTTTACAAGCTAAATATGGGAAATATAAAATTACAATTCTGAGGAAAAAAAGCCAATTTTTGGAAAACAAACAAAAAAAAAATCTATTTTTAGTGTCTCTCACTTATCTTTACAGTTCATTGATCAGAATTCTGTTTCTATCTACTTTTTCTATGAACTCTGAGTTCATCCTTCACAATTTTAAATAGTTTACCATAAACTGAGATAACTCCAGACCAGTCAGAATTGTTTCTTGTAATTTAGAGTTGACTTTCTCACAACTTGAAAATGAAATTGAACATGATGAAACATGAACATGAAATTGGATGTTTGTAAGTTGAAATCGCGAGATTCAAATTTGCAAAAGGAATTGCAACTATTTCTCTCCTCTGTGAGTTTACAGGGGTTTTCCCCAATTTGTACATTTTTATGAAAAATGCTAAACTTTTTACAAAACAGTGACAAATAATACAGTCAAACTTGTTTATTCCCAATTCCAAATATAATGCTTCTGCAAAACTGAATTTGCGAGAAATAGTCAGAATTCTGAGAGACACTTTTTTCAAACAAGCTTCCATAAAATCCCTCCAAAACATATTAAATTAGCAAAAACTGCAACCTATTCATATGAACCGTCCGCCCATTTGCATCAGTGCGAATGAATTTACAATTTTTTTCAACAATTTCGTAATGATGCCAATAACCAAACTAAAATAAATACAAATACATTTATTTTGTCAACAAAACTCTCAGCCTACCTCCAAAATAAAAAAAATAAAAAAAATGCCAATGAGGAGAGGCTTGAGTCCCAGAACTTACTTGGATGAACACATTTCACAGTACTTAATAAAATAAAAGAACAGAACTTTTAACACAATCAAACAAAAACTTTCATTATTACTTTTAAATACCTCTATACAATGGCATTACCACTCGCTTGGTTCTGTTTGTGGAATAGATGACAGGACGATGAAGATGAAGCAGTTGCGGAAACATCTGACAGCAGCGTCCATCCGACATGATTCATCTGAAGAGTCCAAACCTTTAGCTGCCCTTCTCTCCTGAGGTCTGATTACTGTCGAGACATGGTAAAAAGGGTTGCTACCATCAACATCAAGGACTGTGAACTGAAGACGATCAATGACACAATGCACACTTACTGTTTCACTTTCCCCTTCATCCTCGGGCAGGGTTTTAGGCCCTGAGCTGAAATGCAGAGGAGAATAAACCCAGCTTTTGTCTTCTGGAGGCTGCAGTTATACCAGCAGTACAGCAGAGGGAGCCAGAGAGGAGGAAAGACAGGAAAACAAGAGCGGCAGAGAGGAATATAAGTGTCACCGATTTGAACATTTCAAGGTGTCGGGAAAATGGAAATGGGTTTTGAAGTACACGTTATTTGAAAGCTAAACTACTAAAACATCTTTATTTTAACTATATAAAAAAACCAATGTAAAAGCCTTCAGTCTATAGTCACCTTCACATACTAGAACGACTACATCTGTGCACAGATTATTGGTGTTTATTTACGAAGTGAAGTCGCCATCTACTGGCCTGGGATACGGAATAGAGTGCAATTAGTTTATTGCGTGTAAAAAAATTCAAACATTTAAAAGCGAAATTTGCATGTGCACCACTGCCATGTAAACAAAACCTTTAAAAACACAGTGGCTAGAGATGGACATTAGTTAACATTTACTGCGAATAATAATTAATATATCGTCACCTTGGAATGATAAGGTTCTATCTGTTTACTGAATGATTTTGAGATATTGAGCTTTAAAGCTTTTGCATTCCGTATAACCAACTTATAAAAAAAATGCTATAATGTAAATAAGTTGTCATGACATAAGAATATGTCAATAACTCAATTTTGTCAGAAATGTCAGACAGAACCTTATCATTCTAAGGTGATGATATGTATTAAATGTATGTTTCATTTTTGATGGCAATTCATTCATTCATTTTCTTGTCGGCTTAGTCCCTTAATTAATCTGGGGTCGCCACAGCGGAATGAACCGCCAACTTATCCAGCAAATTTTTACGCAGCGGATGCCCTTCCAGCTGCAACCCATCTCTGGGAAACATCCACACATACACACACTCATACACTACGGACAATTTAGCATACCCAATTCACCTGTACCGCATGTCTTTGGACTGTGGGGGAAACCGAAATACCCGGAGGAAACCAGGGAGAACATGCAAACTCCACACAGAAACGCCAACTGAGCCGAGGATCGAACCAGCGACCTTCTTGCTGTGAGGCGAACATGCTACCCACTGCGCCACTGCGTCGCCTTGATGGCAATTATTTTTTGCAAATGTGAATCTGGATTTTCATAGCAAAATGAATGACTTCTGTACTTAAAACAGTATTCAGCTTTAAAAGTGAAGAAAATAAAATGATAGCAAATCATCATTTGTTTTAGTCTTTGTAAATGTTTGTTTATACATAAACCTTTCACAAGTAAATCTATTTACTTCGCGATGCCAGTTTTACGCCTGGTGTTTGACCTGTACGACACCTTGGAGTCTGTAATTCTGCTGCCATTGGCCAGATCTAGTGGTGGGTAAAGCGAGGCTTCATGAAACACTGAAACAGTCGAAGCAAATGTGTCAAAGCTTAAAAAGGTTTCGAAACCCTGCAGTGACACCTATGGTCATTTTTTTTTTTGTATTGACCTGGAACAGCTTCAGCAAAGAACAGTTGAACAAACTGAGGTATGAAACCCCACTTTGTAGGATTGACCGTTTAAGTGACCGAGTGGAGTGGTTAGGGTTCCTGACAACCATGCGGGGAAAGTGAGTTCGAATTCAGGCTCGTACAGTTTTTTTAAAATGCTTTAATGTCAATTTGAAATGTTTTGTTCTTGTATCGTTTTGTTTCAACATTGGTCTGACATACGAATAAACACTTTGTGAATAAATATGTCTTGTTTTGGTCATAAAACAGGGTTGTTGCTAGATCAGATACAGTTGTGGCCAGAAGTTAACAAGAATTATTTATATTATTAGTTAAATTTCCCATTGTATTTTATTAATTTCTACCCAAAACCCTAAACCCAACCATTACAGTACTGTAAAAATATGAATTATTGTTTTAAAGTGTTACAAAAATGATGCTAAATTGATGGTGTATCAGCAGCTGTATCCTACCTAGACTACACCATAAAACAGAAACATGAATAAAATACATAAAGTCATGATTCTGGAGTCGGGATTCGAACCCAAAAATCATTTGAAGCACAGTAACAACATGCACACGGACAGTCCACTAGGCCACATGTAACAGGTGTGTTTTCTGACCCGGTCAGTCAAACGCAGATTAACCACGTCTCGAAACGTTTCTGAACTGATCGATGCTTTGAATCGCTATAGTCACATGACCAGGTGTTACGAAACCCTTTAGTCACGTGACCTGGGTGTTTCGGATCATGCTTCGTTGCAGTGTTTCGAAACACTTGCGCTTCAGGATCTCGACACTATCGAAACGTCAGTTTCACGTCAGCCATCCCTAGCCAGATCAAGCCGGTCCTCTTCAAGTCAGTCTTTGCTATCACTCCCGCAACAAAAACAAGGACTGGACATGACGCAGCACAGTGACGACATTAAATACGAGCAGACACTTAAAAGTATTCATTTAACACATTTGTGTCCAATAATAGGTTTTATTTCCATATTAGTGACCGTAAAAGAACCGTTCTTTTTAACTGGATCTTCTAAGTGAAGTAGTTTCACCAAATGAAATGAATCATTTGAAACAATCTGCGTCTCTATAAGCACTCTTATCCACAAAGACTTAGTTTTTTTACATGCATGAGTCCTCTGACTCGAAATGAACAAATTCCAGAGTTATTCAGTTATTAGAACAGTACATAAGAGATTGGATTTGAGAATTCAGGGGAACTCATAATAATGTGCATGTGTGATTAAGTGAACCGAACACAAACAATACATGACAAGTGACAGAACTAAACTTGAACAGCTGCAGCGCAAGTAAACTGAGGGCTTAAATGAGAGGATCTGGCGAAAAAACGTATGTTTATTTCATAACAGAGGGTCATAATGACATTTAAATAAGTGAATCATGTTTTAGTTGGGTTTCTTACTTTTAAGAAACTTTTCAGATCATGCTGATGTTTTAACTGACTGAAGTTATGATTGCTGACTACATATTTTTGATATGTTGAGTCTTAACATGAGAGGATTGTCACGAAAGATCCGGTTCACGGAAAAGATCTGAACTTTCCATCACTACTGTGCATCTAACCCCAGAAGCAGCCTTGCACCTTGAACGGTACTTAAGCCTGCTATCTTGTGGGCTGTTGTATTTGAGTTTGAGGATGAGTAGATGGTAGTGTTTTCTGTGTCCTCTAAATACAGGTTTCAAAAATGAATGTTTGGGTGAGTTATTATACACTATTCTGATGATTTTGTATCTTGCACCTAAAACTAATACTGAAACTAATAAAAACTAAACAAAAACTAAGCAATCTCAAAACATAGAAACTAGTTAAAACTAGTAAATCTGCCTAACTGAATTTGAAAACAAAAATCAAAACGAAAAACAAAAAACCTAAAACTAATGAAAAATCCAAAACTATTATAACCTTAATGTACAGTTGAAGTCAGAATAGCCCGCCCTTTGATTTTTTAAATTATGTTTACCAAAGCAGGGAAATGTTCACAGTATGTCTGATAATATTTTTTCTTCTGGAGAAAGTCTTATTTATTTTATTTTGCCTAGAATAAAAGCAGTTTTTAATTTTTTAAAAAACATTTTAAGGTCAAAATTATTAGCCCCTTTAAGCTATATCATTAAGCTATAAGCCATCGTTATACAATAACTTGCCTAATTCCCCTAACCTGCATAGTTAACCTAATTAACCTAATTAAGCCTTTAAACATCACTAAGAAGTGTCTTGAAAAATATCTAGCCAGATTGTATTTACTGTCACCATGACAAAGATAAAATAAATCAGTTATTAGAAATAAGTTATTAAAACTATTATGTGTAGAAATGTGTTGGAAAAAAAATCTGCTCTCCATTAAGCGGAAATTGGAAAAAAAAAAAATAAACATGGGGGCTAAGAATTTTGACTTCAACTGTATAGCAAGGCTAGAGTGTATATATTAGCTGTAATGTACATTGTAGAAAGCATTCTGGAAATAAATATGAATTGAATTTGATAAATAATATTCATTAACCAGCTTTATTATGTTCAAAATTGTATGACTCTGGTCATGTTACATGCAGTTTTTTTTTGCAAATTTTATTGTGAAATTTCATAGCAAAAATCATTCATATAATACCTTTTTTAATCAGTGAATGAAATTTTTCTTTCTGAAATCTTCTAATCTGTATTTGAACCACTTGACAATAGGAAAGGATACTAAAAATGTTATAAAAGCTTATTTTGTAGCTATTTTCTTTTAATTTCATAATCTAATTTAATGGAGAGCTAGTTTCATTTTGTTTTGCCTGTTTATGATTTTATTTGATTATTTATACTGTGAAAAGGACTAAAGTGTCAGCTAAAAATCTTTAATATTCTACTGAAGAATAACTTAATTTGTCATTAAACTATTCCTATAAAAGCACAACACCAAAAAAATGAATAAAAACCAACGTGTTCAGTTGTAGAGAGACAGGGAATTTCAGAAACTAGCTTTAATTCTAAAACTACTTCTAAATGTCGTTTCCGCAAAACATAACAAAAAACTTACAATATGCCTTCTTCTGTGTGTGGCGGGCGGACAAACATGGACGCTGCCATCACAGAACTTAGATGACGCAGAGAAAAAAAAGAGATGGACAGACAGACAGTGAAAGATGGCAGAAGAGTAATGAAGGAGATGAAGGGCTGTTAGCGGTGGAGAAATGAAAACACTGACAGCTCCATTAATAAGAGGAGAGCAGCTGGTGCAGAGTGTTAATGAGGAATAATTCAACAGTCGATAGGCCTCTTTTCAGCACACGGCCGAGTTAAACACCTCAATGTGTCTGAAAAAATTATAGTGATCCACATTCCTCCAATATTCTTGGCTATTATTGGAGATATCCCTGCGAATGCACACTCACGTCTGTGTGTTTTGTCATTCATGTTGGTGTTATTCAAAGTAAAAAAAGCACATGAAAAGTGATTGATTGTTTTTATATACTCAGTAACTTTAATGTTGTACAAAGCTCAGCTGATTGGTGAGGTTTTTGATGTGCATTGTGATTGGCCAAAATTTTCAAGTGCATGTCAAAAATGTAACATTTTCAGCTTCCAAATTTTCCATTTAACGTTTCACATTTTCCATTTAACGTTTCAAATTTTTTCATTTAATGTTTAACATTTTCCGTTTAATGTTTTAAATGTTCTATTTAGTGTTTCAAATGACGTTCAATTTAACGTTGAAAAAGCATGTTGTGTTTAATGTTCTAAATGTTGAACTGAAAGATATGTTCAGTATAATGTTTCAAATTAGTTTACAATGACACATTATAATTAATTTCAATGATCATTCAGATACAAATGTTGTCTTTATTGTTACAAATGCTGTTTATTAAACAATTGGATTACTGTTACAAATGTGTTTATTGTAACAAATGGTGTTTATTGTTATAAATGTGTTTATTATTTATTAGAAATGGTGTTTATTGTTACAAATGTGTTTATTATTTTTTATTAATGTTGTTTATTGTAACAAATGGTGTTTATTGTTATAAATGCATTTATTATTTATTAGAAATGGTGTTTATTGTTACAAATTTTTATTGTTACAAATGTGATTATTATTATTATAAATGGTCTTTACTGTTTTAATGATGTGTTTATTATTACAAATGTTTTATTATTACAATTTTTTATTCATTATTACAAATGTTGCATTTATTGTTACAAACGTGTTCATTATTTTTCATTAATAGTGTTTATTGTTACAAACGTGTTCATTATTTTTCATTAATAGTGTTTATTGTTACAAACGTGTTCATTATTTTTCATTAATAGTGTTTATTGTTACAAATGTGTTTATTATATATTATAAATATTGTTTATTGTTAAAAATGTTGTTTATTATTTATTACAAATGCTGTTTATTGTAACAAATTTTTGTTTATTATTACAAATGTTGCATTTATTGTTACAAATGTGTTTATTATTTTTTTATTAATGATGTTTATTGTTACAAATGTTTAATTTAAAGTCATGTTCACTTTATTGTTAAAATTGTTTCAATAAATGTTTCAAGCTCCAATTTCTGAAGCTTACATTTAACTGTACTTTAAGTAAATTTACTATGTTAGAAGAAACGTAGGTAACTTAGGTTGTATTAGTTATGTTGTGCACTTACTAACACGAACAAACAATAAACAATATATTGATTACAGTATTTCTTCATGTTAGTTAATGAAAATAGAGTTGTTCACTGTTAGTTCATGTTAGCTAACAGTGTACTGATGACAAATAAAAATTCAGTTTTTAATAACGCATTAGTAAATGTTGAACTGTGATTCATTTAGGCTGTACAAGTATTGTTCATTATTAGTTCATGTTTGTGAATGCATTAAGCAACTTATTGCAAAGTGTGAGTGATTCTATATATTTATATTTATTTCATGTCCAAGCTCTCAAGGAAACTTACTTTTAAAATGAAAAATTAAATGTTTGCATGTTTGAAGATATGTCTGGTTAAATTGATCAGCTTACAAAATAAATGTCTGTGATTGGCACGTCATCCTCCTCGTCCACCGAGGCTCTACTTGTACAGCCTGAGGCCTGACTGCCGCCGTCAGACTCCACCACGATCCTGGGACTCGCCGGGACGGAGGAGGACGAGGCTTCTGGAATAGTCTCTGCAGCTTCACTGGACACACGACAAACAGAAACATTGTTTTGAGATCATCAGGGAGTATAATGTTGCCTGTTCATCTGGCAAAACTGTCAAATGAAGTTGAAATGGAACTAATTTTATCTTTTCTTCTTTGTTTTGGTAAAAACATACTCAAAATTTTATGAGTCTCTTTGGAAGTGTAATTGTACCATTAATTATATATTATAGTGTTCATTAATATTTGGCTTTTGTTTTAGTTAGTTGTTTTTAGTCTGGATTATAAAATTGACATAATTATAATTCCTTACACTTATATAGAGCTTTTCTAGATACTAAAAGCGCTTTACACATTGCGGGGATTCTCATTCCCCACCAGTGTGCAGTCTCCAACTAAATGATGTGATGGCCGACCGCACACCACAAACCAGCAGATTAAGAGAGATATGGGGATGGTTAGGGGCCCATGATGGACAGAGGCTAGTGGGTAAATTTTGTTAAACCCCTCCTCTTTTCAAAGGACATCCTGGGATTTTTTTTAATTACCACAGTTAGTCAGGATCTTGGTTTAATGACTCATACTGCTCAGTGATTGCCTTCAGTATACTGGAGCATTAGGACCCACACAGACCGCAGGTTG